CCAACTCCTCATACTCTGTGATTCTGTGTGACATTTCAGCCCCAATCCTCTCCAGTTACACTGGTGCAGATCTGCTGCTAGAAAAAGCTATAAAAATGAGTGTAACTGACTGCAGCACCACAGACAACCCTGCTGGCAATGCCTGTGCAGGTGTAGATGCTACTGACTACTGCAGAGTTATGGTAGCACTCTGGAAAGAGATGTATCAAGAGCTTCTTTATTTATGTGTTGGGGAAACAGATGTCTAGAATGGAACTGCTGAGCACTAAAATAGCTTTTTGCTTCTAAATCTTCAATGAAGAGATGAAATACAGTGATTTTTATAAGCTTCTTCCACTGATAAACTTCTAAAGAAGACAGCTCTGAGTTTCACAGCTATCCTAGCTATGAGTATATACTAAACTTTTTTTTTTTCCTTTTTACAAAGAGAACAAATTTTGGTAGTTCCCATCTACAGATGTACGGAGAAAGACGGTGTAGAGAGATACTGATGGAAATAACATGGTTAGTTTCATTCACTGGCCACTAGAGGCCAGTTGTGCTGCATTTATCAGCAAGAACATGTCCTGGGCCCCTGTTAACATTGCACTGCCATTAAACACCACAGAAATAAAGGAGAACTGTACTTTGAATGTCCTGAATTATGAATGGAGACACTGAAGACTGCTGTGGCTGCCACTGAGACAGTCTGGCTTTTGTGGCCTTTTTAATGTATGGTTATATATATAGATAGATATATCTAATATAAAAAGAGGCAATTTTTAATATATATGTGTGTGTGTGATTGCCTCTTTTATTTCAATGCTTTGTATTTTTTTTTCCTAATCTTTCTACGCCGAGATAAATGGGGTGGTGGCTCTTTGGTAAAAGAGCTTTTAATTCTGATTTTTGACTTACCATTACCTATAAAGATTATGAAGTACTGTTATTTGGAAGTTCATTGCTTAACGGACACCTTTTATCTTTTCAAGGCAGCTCGAGCAATCAGTTCTCAATAAATTTTAACTGCATCTCTTCGTCTCTGTCCTCACCCTCTTATATTTACCTGGAAGCCCTCTTGGTCCAGGGTAACCTTTCAGTCCTCTGCCTGGAAATCCTCTTTCTCCTCTTTCTCCTGGTTCACCTAAAGCAAATTGATGAAACATTCGTTACAGCTTGCCTGGAGTATCACTTGCAGTAAGCTTCCTCGCAGAGGTGAATAGTTAATAAAATTCAGGTGAGTGTATTATGTTTTAGCATCTCTGAATCATGTCCTGACACGTGTCCTTGTAAGAGGTTTGGGATGTGTTTGGATTGGGGTGGTCCTTGAGACAGCTACTGCAGAGAAAAGAAGACAAGCCGGCTTGCACAGGTTACAGGACTCTGTTGACATCCACATAAGATGTTCATAAAAGTAAAACAAACAACTTTGTTCTTGTATATTGGTATTGGGAGACCTTTTTTGGGTGGGCACCCAGCTTTTCTTCAAGCTCATACATTGCTCCAAACAAGAAGTATCTTGACAAGAGGAAGCTTTGTGTCTTGTTTAGGTTGTAAAGTGACAATGCTGTTCACTGTATGTATTCCATAAGAGTATCTCTATCTATAATTCGTGAATACCCTACGTAAACTTGTCACAAGTATATGCCTAGTAATATTTGAGTGAGCTTTATTTCATACTTCCACACTCTTTTCTGCTTCTGTCTCCTATTGTGCCCTTCTAACCCATTCTCAGCATCCTCCTCCTCTTCCTTTGACCACATGTCTGAGGTACCCCTTTCCTCTCACTCCTATCTCAGATGAGTCACCAAAGGAAGGGGGAAGCTCCGTCCATCTCTGTGACCTCTGTGGACCTCTGGTAACCCCCAGGAATTCAAAGTGAAGCACCGAGGGGTTTTTTCAGGGTGCCTGCCATGTGCCATAATGACAGCAGTCCCCATTTCTCTTGTATCTGTAATTATATTTCAAGTTTTACTATAAGGTAACCTGAAATTTGATGACAATTATGATAAGAAACACAGTGTTTTGCTTGTTTGGTTTGGGATGTTTTTATGTGATGCTCTGTAGCTATTTTCTTTAAATATGACCACAGTGCAGCCTGCTGTGTGCTGAATCTAATTCAGCGAATCAGATCACCTTTCTAGCTCTGCTTTTTGTTGCTCCTGTGAATACAGATGACAAAACCTTCACTGAAAACACAGCTCCAGCAGCAATGCTGGTAAGGTTTGCTTTGTTTGTATTCTCTTTCTCCTCTCAAGGGTCTTCCCAATTTTACTTTCAAATAAAACTTGAGACAGAAGTAAACGCTCTAATCCAGCAACAGAGCAGCTTTGTGCATAAACACCAGTTTTAAATAAAACCTTCCTTCAGTAAAACAAATCGAAACCACCACCGAATAGAAACTGATACATACGTAGTGGTCATGAGACTTTGCAGCAAATTCCACTCCGTAATCCTCTGGAGGCACATAAACCCTCTCAGTCAGGAACAAAGGAGATTAGCTCAGATCAAAGCTGTTTTGTAAAGTGTAAGGTAAGTCAATTTTAGTATGAATTTGTTCTTTCCAAAGAATCAATGGATTCTGCTACACGGTGCGGTGATGTTAAATGCCTCTTGTGTTATACCCAAATGAGAGGCAGATTTTTATCAGTCACTTGTAAAGTGAGAAACTGGGTAGACTGAGAAAAGTAGAGCTTAGTGAATGAACCCGACTGTGTTAGCTTTTGGGACCACAGGTCTCGCAGAAGCGAGGTTCACAACCAGACTGAGCAGAGGAAAGAGAGATTTGCTGCTGGGACCTTTCAGCATATGAAAAACACAAACCTCTAAAGTTCATGAAGGGGAAAATTAACATTGGGAAACTCATCTGCTTACTGCTGGTTCAAGGCAGACGCCTGTCCTTTTGCATATTGTGTGAGTGATTTGATGGCAAAAAACCAGAGTTATAAACAAGTCCTGCTGAGCCCAGCTCAATGAGCCCTTTAGTCACTGCAGCAACAGTTACAGGAGACAGCTTAGGTTCCTAATTCAGGACCTTTTTCACATGTGTACAATGCACATCTTCAACCAAAGGGAAAAAAAACCCACCAAAACACAAAAAATGGAGCTGTGAAGAACTGAAAGGCAGTTACAGAATTTAAGTTACAGCCTTCCTTACCTTTAGGACCTTTACGACCAATCTCACCAGGGGGACCTTTCAGGCCGGGCAAGCCGCGGGGTCCAAGCTGTCCTGGGAAGCCGTTTTCACCAGCAGGCCCTGGAGCACCGGGTGGCCCCGGTCGGCCAGGGAGACCTGGAGCGCCAAATTCTGGTCTCCTGAGGCTGGCTGCCAGCTGGGCTAGTTGCTCTGCAGTGAAGAGAAGGCCAGAATTAAACCAAACCTACAGATTACAGGACAGCACCTTCCTTAGGTACAATGCTATCGCCAAATTTTGTTACGTCTAAGCTATTATCTCAGTACTACTAGAGGGAAACTGCGCAGGCACCCTGTGGAGCTGGTCACTCTGAAGATGACATCTTAAACGTTTGAAGTCTGCAAGCTGAAATGACTTAAATGGAATGGGTTATTTAGAAAGATGTAATTGAATTATAATTTTCTATGTCATTTAAATTTCAACCATCGAGTAAGAAAAGTTACTCATGCAGTTGCTGCCTCTTAAAAGAGCAAATGTCTCTGTTACTACTTGTTAATCTTTATCAAGATCCAGCTTTGCAAGAAGGAGCAACTGAAAAGCATGAGGCCAATCCTCTCTTTCCTTGATGTTTCTATCCTAGACTTCAAATCCAAGCGTGCCTTAGAAATAACTTGCTCTGGAGGCAGCCACAAACAACTCTACACGTCGTTAGCTATAAAGTCTGCAGGACTGGCAAGGCTGGTGGTTTTGTGTCCACGGCCAAGAAAAATTAAGGAGGTGGAGGAGGGGTGGAAGAAAAGATCTGAAATAAAGCAGGAAATATGGCTATTGGTTTATTTTTAATTATTTTTCTTTTTTTCAAGCATGACAGCACTGACACTTATGGGGCTCTCAAGAGGGGTGCAATGAAGACAGTCTGGATTTTTCCCATATCCTTCTCTTCACTGCTAATTCCGATGGCTATGACTAATACCTGATTTCAGTATTACTGTGTCTGTCAAGGGATCACTTCAAAAGGCCTTTACAGCCTATTTATAGCCAGATTTTTTAAAAAAATACCCTGTTGGGCAGTATCAAGAACAGTGATGACTGCTGTTAACTTTTAAATTAAATCGTGAACAGCAGTTTCATTATGGTAAACCCTTAATGTCACAAAGCCATAATATTCCTAAGGGCATCTTCAGTAGCAAGTACTGAAAGTACCTTTTGTGCTTCCAGGGGAGTATGAATTTTTAAACTCGGTAAATCCCACGCACCCAATTGTATTCGAAAAGCTCCAGATTTGTGTGTATGTCAAGAAGAACTGAGCAAAGACAATTAGGGTTTTGAACATCTGCCTATTGCTTTCATTTTATCTGCAGGAAGGCTCTCCCTGCCCTCCTCTTTTTTACCTATTTGGCACATGGTTTTTTTGCTGTAATCTAACAGTGTATGGCTGTAAATGGCAAAAGAAGCCTCCAGTGAAGTTGTGTACTTTTATATGTGTCAACATAACGAGTGGTTTGTACATAAAATATATGTATTTCATAAAAACACTCCAGTCTATGGCCTGGTTACTACAGTAACGCTGTGGAATCAACAGGTGAATCAATGAGGCTGCAGAGCACATATATCTAAGGGACTTCTTTCTCATATTCTCTCATACTGTGTCCACATTCACATGTGGGGATTTTCTACCACATCTCCTGCTGAGGCCACGCTATTTGTTCTGCATAAGAGGGGGAAAATCTTGGTTGCCTCCACAGCAGTAGATTATCTTGATTGAAATGCAAAGAAACACCAAAGACTTTTTAGCATATTTACCTTGCATGACTCTCATGCAAACCTGCTTAATATGCTGATCGGTTGGTTCTTTTCCCTAGGATTAGAAAAATAGTTTAAAAAAAAAACCCAGTTGATATCACAGTACATTTTGTAAGTGTGCCTGATGCCAAAAACGCTGGCTGGTTGTCACTGTGTAACACCAGTTACACAGCTGCTTACTCACTCCCCAACCTGCGGGCAGGGGAAGAGACAATTGGAAGGGTAAAAGTGGGAAAAACTCACGAGTTTAATAAATTAAAAGAAATAACAATAATGATAGCAATACTACTAATAATAAATTATAAGGAAAAGGGGGAAAAATTAACAGAGGGAAAAGTAAAACCCAAGAAAGACAAGTGATGCAAATGAAAACATTCTCACCACCAATCGACCAGTGCCCAAACTCCCCACTAGTTTTAGTGCTGAGCATGATGTGGTATGGTATGGGATATACCTGATGTGATATGGTATGGGATATACCTGATGTCATGTGGTATGGTATGGGATATACCCGATGTCATATGGTATGGAACATACCTGATGTGGTATGGTATGGGATATACCTGATGTCATATGGTATGGGATACACCCGATGTCATATGGTATGGAATATACCTGATGT